GGAAAGAGTTAATATCCTAATGATTTTTGGCATAAAAGAAAAATCTATCATTTTGATCCATACAATGTATTGTTGGCTATTGCTACAAATATACCTGTGCGACTTAAGACTGCTTTTGTGTTCCAGGGTCACATATATATTTTTTTTACCTGTAGTCAAAGAACAGTTCCTCTCCAGTCTGTATGGCTCTCTTAGCAAATATGCCAATCCTGTGATCCCCATTAACCATCATCACTGTGAGGACAGACAGAAACAGATCATGACATCACATTTTACACACAAGATCCTTTTAGTACAGGATTCTGAGTGACTTACCCTTTGCATAGCAGTTGGGGTTTACAGAGTGGTTGGCAAACCTGATCTTGTTTCCTTTCCTAGTTGCATCAACAACAAAATCTGTGGGTGAAAGGTGGGAGGTTGTCAGCCAGTGAGGGGGCGTGTGAACAGCGAACATTTGCAAGATAGAGGTTAGTTACCATTGTTAAGGTTGAACAGGAAGCTGCACATGTATTTGTCATACACCTTGCCTCTGCGGTCTGCCTCATCCTGGGAGATGATCTAGCAGGTAAAAATAGAAACACGTCACATAAAAAGGAAACTTCACTGTGTAGTCTTGATGTTTATTTATTTATTTAACATCTCACCTCCCCACAGTACTCGGAGATGAACTCATTTTTCTGAACTGGCTCTTTGATGAAGATTCCCCATCCGGCCACATCAGATGGAGCCAGTAGCAAGTGCTTAAAAAAATTTAAAAAGAAGAAATGGCATAAATAACCAAGAAAAGAGGGTGTATCACAACTAAATGGTTAAGCAACAGTCCATTAATGTCTTTTTTATATTTGTGAAAAATGACATTCATCTTCATGCTGACGTGTGACAGATTAAAATGTACCTTCTTTGCTCCTCTCTGGATGCTAGAGTTCTTGCAGGAGACATTTTTACTGTCCCAGTGATCAGCCGCCCCGCAGGTGAGACACAGGTCAGGGTCACACTCTCGTACGGCCAGGTAACAGGGGCACTGCTTGGTGTTACACTGGGCCTTACAGCGGCAGCCTGGAAACCGGTTCTGACCTGTACAGATAGAAACAGGGTTCCTACACATTTTCCGTTTCAAAATTCCATACTTTTCCAGACTCAAATTTCCAAACCTCTCAGTAGATTTTTGTAGAGCCCGACCGATATATCGTTTTGCCGATATTATCGGCCGATATGAGCCTGTCGCAGATATATCATATTGGTGAATATGCCGCCGATATGAGCATTTTTTTTACAGAACATATAACGCAGATGAAATGCTTCTAAATGGTGTAAGTTTGTCCAGCAGAGCGCGCTCCATTGTTTGCTACTAGCGACTCAGGTCAATGTAGAGATGTGCGGATGAGCTCAAACTTCACCCGAGTCCGCTACCTCAAATAAA